TTCAAAATAAAAATGAGCGATAGAAATTTTACACAACGTTTCGATGTCGTCATGACATCATTATCAAGTGACAAGAAAATTCTTGTCACTTGATAATGATGTGATGACGACATCGAAACGTTGTGTAAAATTTCTATCGCTCATTTTTATTTTGAATTGTTGTTATTATTAAAATTATTATTATTATTAAAATCGTTTAAGCAAACTGATATACTCAAAGATAGTACATTTTATTTGTTGTGCTCCTCGTTCTGTTAACTCTATATTGCTCAAGTATTTACAAGTAGCTAATGTTACTTAGTAAAAACACATATGGTCCAGATCTCGATTATTTTTATCTTTTGTTCGTCAATGGGCCATTTCCGAGTTACGTTGTGCCTCTGTTTCAAAACGAGGCCTCGTGAACAAATGAGTTTTATCTACATGAAAATGAACCTGTAGGTGGAGCACATTTTTAAGACTCGTTTTGGCACAGAGGCAAAAGGCAACTTGGAGATGGTCTATTCACGCCCACTATGTTAAGAACGTTTCCAAACACATATGTGTTTACAAATACTCAAAACGTGATCCCTCTCCGGTTTTTTTTTGTTTTGTTTTTGGAAGCAAAATGACCCAACTTTGAAGGCTTGTAAAATCATCAATTTCCAACATTAAAGTCTCAAACTTGAAATCGTGTATTTCAAACGATATATTTTATTAATTTTAAATATTCGTACTTAAAACGACCTTACTGCGCCTGCGTAAGGTTGTGTAAAATCAGCCTTAAGGGGAGCGCTTTACTGACTGTTTTAAAAGTACCTGTACAATCTCGAAAAAAAAATTTCAAAAGCAAATAAAAGTCATGTCTCTGTTTTCTTTCTTCAGTTGTTGTTCCACTGGCTGATTTTGGTATTATTATTATTATTTTTTTCCTTTTCTCATTCCATAGTGAAAACAGTGCTAACAGAGTGATCACCAAAGTGAACTCTGACCATGATATGCCTGTAAGAGAAAACATGGTTGCAAATTAATCTTTCTGCCCATCAGTTTTGATATACATTTCAGTCAAAAAAAGTTTCAAAACTCCATCATATTTGAGGCTTGAAACTCAAAACTTTCTCTGCCTTACTTCATGACATAAAACGTTTCCAACTTCCCTTGCTAGAACACAAAATAATCCATGAAATTTCCTACATTATCGTGGTAAATAAATTTGCCTTTTTAAGTGAAAAAATTTAAAGGTAAAAATAAACACAACTCAAAATAACTTAAAAAGCTGTTTAATTTTAATTTGATATTGTTATATTTTCATGAGGCAATATGAAAAGAGACAGCCAAAAGTAATTAAGCCACAACCAAATTACAAAATTTAAAACTAAAATCTTAAAAAATCGACGGGGCCAAGCCATTTACAGGCTGAAAGGAAAATCAGTATTTAGCTAAAAACAGAACTCTTGACTGCCATGTAAAGGCTCGCATGGGATTTGTACCATAGCATGTAAACTAACCTTTGGAACCACTCGCTTCTTTCTACAACACTTTACAGAAGTTAAACCGCAAATGCAGGTGGAAGACATAACACGATTTTCAAATACTTTATCTTGTTGCATGTGCATGTTTGTTTGACTGTCCTCTGTGTGGCTGTCATCAAAAGTCTCCAGTGGCGTTACAGTTGGCTAAAAGATGAAATACCAGAGCAAAATTTAAAAAACTCACGATCAAAACAATTGTGTAACTGTAATATGTTCTACATTGAAAAAAAAAAAGATATGTAACTTCAACATCTCCCTTCCTCGTTCCCAGATAAAGATTTTGCGCTGGAATGAAGTCACTAAAATGAAGGTAAATGAGGATTTTCCTTTGACATATTTTTGTATGACTT